TTCCTTGTTGATAGATCAACTGGAACAATATGGGGAAATGATTCATCATCTCTGTTCAAATGTTGATAGACACAACAGTTGGTCTGACTGGTAGCTCTAACAAAAGCCTGTATCATTGGGGCCTATGGATGAGAGGCCTGTCCATCATTGTGAGATAATCTGGGAAGACAAAGAGACAACATTAACAATTCCTGCCTCCCCTCCCCTATCTTCTGTGAAACTCGAGGTGAGGGTTGCCTGGATATAGCCACCCAAGCTGTCTGTCCTAGTCTTGAGGCAGTGACCTCTGTGGGAACCCAGATTTATTTATTTTTTGTTTTTTAAATTTTTTTTATTTTTTTATATTTTATTGTACTCCAGGTGAAGGCTTATAGAACAAATAGTTTCTCATGAAACAGCAGTACACATGTTGTTTTATGACATTGGTTAACAACCCCACAAGATATCAACCCTCTAACTTCTCAACCTTTGGGAACCCAGATTTTTTGTCAGGAACAGTTGTATACAAAAGAAACACTTTTTATAGAATAGACAGTTTGATCTAACATACAGTACAAATGGGAAATGCCCTTGCAGGGAACTGCTGCATTGAGACCCTGGACTGCTTGCCTGTGATGTATAGTTCAGGCTAGGGTTGTCTTGTCTCCTCCCATTAGCCATTTAAGCCTGCCCATTGAAGTGCTCAATTGCCCCTATGGCTTGGGGGTGATATAGAGTGTAGAGAGTTCATTCAAGATCAAGTGGAAGCCTCTGTATAAGATAAGAGGCCCTAATCTTATTTACCTGCTGAGAACACACTGGCCTATTAGATGGGGAATCTGTCCCTGGGCAGGTTTTAGCCTTGGCCAGGGTCTCTAAGGCAAGTCAGCTTTTCTTCGCTGCCCAGCGTTTTCTGATGACAGTGGCAGTCCATGCATGTAGGCTGAGTCTAGGTTGGTGTGTGAATATCCATCCACGAGCCACTCTATCTGCTAAACCCAGGAAGTGGTCAGTTGTACATTTCTTTGCCCTGGAGCAGAGGATGCTTCAGCCTCTGCAGTCAGTTGGCAAGAGCTGTCTGCTCTTTGGTTGTTTTCTCCTCTCAGCATAGGGGCCTTTCTGCTTACCATCCACACATGTATCAAAAGCTCATGAGGAGTAGAACTGAATTTTTTTTTGGTTCAGATGTCTCATTCCCCACAGAACCTTGCTTTATATGTCAGTCCAAGGGTTGTTAGTAGCCAGGTCAAATGGCCAAGCTATTAGCTATGGCCCACGTCACAATTTCTGTGTACCCCACTAAAACAGGCCCTAACTGCAGCAATTCCTGTCATGGTTTGGAGGCAAAAGTTTACAAATGCGTACATTAATACAGCAACATCATCAATACATGTAACAAGGGTTTGTAGGGGCCCCAAAGGGACTTATCCATAGTTACGTTTGGGCAAATGTCTCAATGATGGTAACCTCAGATCCAAAAGTGTTCTTTTTTTTGGTGTCAGGTGTTACAGAGATCACAGCCACATGTACAATGGTATCTAAAAACCCAAGACATACAACTCTTTTCCTTTCTTCATTGAATTTTGATTGTAACTTAAGGCCTTTGCTCCTCCCTGGTGACAGAGGGACCTAGGCTTAATTCTCAGTCTTAATTATTTCTGAAAGTCAGAAGATCTGGACAAAGTTGGCAGAGCCCTCGGTAATTTGTGGAGCCATGCCTCCACCATACCAAGCATGGGTTCAGCCCAGTTGTCTGGTAACATGAGGGTTGGCCCTCCTGTTTTAGTTTTTTCCTTACTATAGCAGCTACAGCTATGTTGCTGTTCAGTTATCTTGGTGGGGGTAGTTATCAGAGGAGTCCAGAGAGGGCCTCCAAGGTCTCTTCAAGGCCATCAACACGAGCTATCCTGAAGGGCTTTTTACTCTTTTTTTTTTTTCCTGCTGTTATAACTCTTGTTTTGCACTGGGTGTTACAGGGTGTTCTCAGAGCCAGTGACCTGCTTAGCCCCTCCAACTATCTCTGGTCTTATTGTTTGAGGGCTTTGAGCAATGGCTAGGGCATTATTCCCTAGCCCTTGAGTCCCGCATCTTTGCAAACCTGCAGCTGGTGTTTCTAGTTGCTCATCCTGTTCACGGACGTGGCTGCTCCACATGTCAGTTGTGGCCACATGCGACTGCCACATATCCCTTTCCAACTGGAACTCCGCCTGCAAAGCTCTTATGCACACTTCAGCAGCTAGCTGAGCTTCGGTGGCCAGCCAAACAGCCTGGAGCAGTGGCTATTCCATGGTGGCTACTGCCCTCCTAGCTTCTTTTCCACACTTATGAAGGTCCACAACTGGGCTATGCCACTTGGCATTTTTAGGATGTCCGCACACTCACACAGCAGTCCACAAGCATCGAGCATACAGGCCAGGCTTCCCTATGTGAAAGCTGCTGACCAACCCGGGATTTCTCCCTCAGAGGCCTCACTCCCACTTGCCATTTCCTTGGTCTCCTGACTGGCACGCCAATTGTCCAGCATTGACCAGTAACATGAAATTTGCCTCCAAAAAGGAGGGTGCCAAGTGACTGAAGAAAGAGGTGGGCAATTCCAAGGTGGCAGAAAAGGAGTTTATTATGCAGATTTACAGACTAGGTGAGTCCTGGGCTGCCGCAGGACCAAAGCAGATCTCCGTGTCCCGCAGTGGGAGGGCAGAGGTTTTACAGTGGCAGTAGACAATAACGGCTACATGTCAGGGACTTACATAAGGATGACTTAGCAAACTGTAGTGAACTAGTGGACCACATGAGGGCACTCATGTTCAGCCTCACAAAACCTGTTTCCCCTTCAGTCCACTCCTTGAGGCCGGCTCCTACAATCTGGCAAGTTTCCCCTCTTGTGCTGTAGCATGAGAGACCCTGTTCCTTCCTTGCCAGGAACAAATATAGAAGTGGGGTTGGCCAGGTGTCATATGGTGCCCACACATGTGCAAGAGACAGAGAAAGTTACTGTGTGCCCAGAGCAGAGGGAAGCTTCTCTGAAAAGGAGAAGGAACCAGGAGAGAGAAGGTGACCCAATTCCCAGCCTGCTTATCAGAGAATGCTCTGGGCCCAAGGCCTTTACTTAGGCAGCCTGGATGGGAGGCATAGAGGCAGACTATTCCCCCAACAATGTTTATGTACTGTCTATGAAAATTTAATTGATTAACTTAAAAATAAACCAATATTTTCAGTATTATTTATTATATATGTGAAAAGATTTTCCTCATGTTATACCAGAGTAGCTTCTTGCTATCTAAACTTGAAGAAAATTCTGTGGTCAGTATATTTAGATAATTTGAAACAATTAATTATCAATGAACCCTTTATTAGAAAAAATGGAAATGATTTTAGATGTTCTCAGCCATCCAGAGTTGCATGGAGAATTCTAACTTTGATTCCTATTCTTTGTAGATATCCTGTCTTTTCTCTCTGGGGGCATTTTGGATTTTCTTGAAGTTCAGAAATTTCTTTGCTTTCTTCATCAATATTGTTTTCTTTTGAATTTTTCTGAAAAAATTAACTCTGGCAAGGTGAAATGAGTCACAGACTCTCCACAAGGAATATCCTTAAGACAAATCACTGTTGGTTAGCTGTATTTTTGGATTGCCAAGTTAGCACTGCAAAGTGAGGGGAAGAAAGGAATTGCTCTGGACATCATGGGAACTCTGTTTTAAGAGGCTGTGGGCCAGTCAAGGGAACCCTGGTATGCAACGGTTAACTGCTTGGCTGCTAACCAAAGGTCAGCGGTTGGAATCCACCAGCCACTCCGAGGGAAGAAGATGTGGCAATCTGCTTCTGTAGAGATTTACAGCCTGGAAAGCCTATGGGGCAGTTCTACTCTGACCTACAGGGTCACTATGAGTCAGAATTTACTCGATGGCAATGAGTTTGGTTTTTCTGTTTTGGTGTCAGTCAAGGTACAGTGCACTCCATATTTTTAAGCAGAAAAGAGTTTCATAGTGAAAATTAGATATTTACAAAATTAGTGGGACGCCTGGACGAGAAGTTAGGGAACTGTCTCTGGGCTTTTGGCTTCAAGATTACACAACTATATCTGCAATCCAGTTGTCAGGAAGCTGGTACCATTAATGTTTTGGCAGCTGTTATTGTTTTGGTTATGGTATATAGCCATCTAACAGCCACGACACTTACATCTCGATGCTAGAACAAGGAGTTTGGTCACTGCATATTGGAGCTCATGCCTGTCAGAGTTTCTTTGTCTGCTGCCACAACTGCAGGAAACTGGCTACTACCTTCCTTCTGCTTTCAAACTTTGAAAGGTAATTTTATAGGCACTACCTAAACCACATCTATAATCATAAAGCTAAGGGAGCCTGAAAAATATAGTTTTTATTCTAGTACAGAAGAAGAGTGGATGGGAATGGATGCCTAGCGCCAATGGACAATATCTAGCACAGTTTTCCCCTTTGTCCACTTAGCATCCATACACACCCTTCTACACGTAAAATTCCCCACAACAATATCAAGAAAAACATGCTACCAACACACTTAAGCCAACTATTCCTCATATAAATGAAAATATTATCTCATTCACCACCACCAGGGCTCCGCAATCATTATAACCATAGTTAATTAACACACGTAAATGAATACTTTTGTCTCTGGTTTTCGGTAGTGACTGCAGTAAACGTCCCTTTGTGGAAAGTTTATTCTGAGTAAATTCTTTAAAAACAAAAACTAGAAACCAAAATCTGCCTCCCCTGACTTTGGGCTGAGGGCAGGGCTAGTGGCGGAGAAGGCGGGGCCGCACTGATTTGTGGGCGGAGCCGCAGAGTCTGGGAGGGCAGTTTCCTTGTGCTCGGCACGACTCGGCTCCCCTTGGCTCCGCTCGGATCCGTTCGGCTCAGGCTCTGGCAGGCAGCGTTCAATCTGGCGCACGCGCTGTCAACTCCTACCGCTCTCAGGGCCCCGCTCTGTCTCCTGTTTTTACTTCCTTCTGTTTAGAGCTGTATCCGGGTCGTTGCTTTACCTATTGTCTCAGGCAACCGGCCTCAGACTGTGCAAATTCTGGGTCTTTTGTTGTTTCTGATGCAGGCTAATAAAGTTTTTCTTTCTTTTATTTTTTTCTTCCAGTTTTAACGGGGGAAATTAACACCCCGGGGCCACCGGGTTAGTCGCGCTGCCTGGGCCAGGGGGCGCCTCTGGCCGGGGTACGCCGTGGGAAGGGGCGCGAGCGGCCAGGGCTGGTTTTGCGAGGACTCCAGGCGGGAGGGGAGCCGCGGGGCTGCGTTGGCTGCGCCCCGGCCGGATCGGCGGCGTCGCCGATTTTAAATAGCATCCTTCGGATTTGCCTCCGCATCCCCACTACCTGATCTTGGCGCTGCCTGGGCTCCCGCATCCTCTCCCTAGGTCTCTTCCAAACGATCACCTCACGGATTCCTTAGTAAGTGTGTCCGAGGCCTCTGAGGGGAGAGGTCCATTTCAGCCCTCCTAAATAACAGGAGGAGCCGGGCGGGAGGGGGTCTTGCGGGGACCCTTCGTGGGTGGTACCCCTCCAGGGTCTGCGGGAGTGAATACGGCTTCTTTTATTCTTTGGGCTTTGCGTCTTTCTTTCTATTGACTGTTAGGTGTCTAAATGAAGGATTGCGAGCAAGTCGCAGAAACACCTCCACAAGAGGGGAAATAGAGGGTCAGCTTCGATTTTGGCCCGTTTGGGTTTGCGTTAAGGAGCCCTAGTGGCGCAGTGGTTAAAGCGCTGGCTGCCAACTGACAGGCTAACGGAAGGTCGGTGGTTGGAACCCACCAGCTGCTTTGCGGGAGAAAGATGTGGCAGTCGGTTTAGTAAAGATTACAGCCTTGGAGACCCTATGGGGGCAGTTCTACTCTGTCCTATAGGGTCACTATGAGTCCGAAAGGACTGGATGGCAACTTTTTTTTTTTTAGGGTGGGCGGGTTTGCGTTGGTTGCGCCCGGGAGCTGGAGCTGCCCATGAAGCTTCCCAGCCTTTCCCGGACGCGTACTCACCCCAAACACCCCCAACTACCAGACAGCTTTTGCTGAGAACTGAATTAGACAAAGATTTCCTGTGCAACGGCTTCTTATCTTCCCTCAGCACCATGGGTCCCCCTGTGCTTGGTGTGATTATGAATGACGATGTAATGTTTTTCTCTTAACAGTGGATCGCAGCTCCAAGAGGAGGCAGGTGAAGCCTTTGGCGGCTTCTCTGCTAGAAGCTCTCGATTATGATAGTTCAGATGACAGTGATTTTAAAGTTGGAGATGCTTCAGGTAAATGTTTCCTTCTCTCTTCCCTTTTTCCAGCTTTCTTGAGTTGGGCTTATTTTAAGACTTTTTTCTTTTTTTAAGAATCAGTTTTGGTTAAATACCAATTTAAAGTTAAAGCATATAAACATTTTTTTGTCCATTTGATTTCCCATATTTCCTCAAGATCCTATCACTAGGTCCTGTCATTGCTTATTTTTGTTGCTATTTATTCAGAGGTAATTAGCAAGCAGGAAGGGACTTATTCCAAAGATGCAAAAGTATTTTCTGTGTTTTACACCTTAAAATATACTTATGCATATTTCATGGATAGAAAAAAAAAAGCCAAGAGATATCCAGAAGTAGAATAATATCCGGAGAGTAATGTAGGCCATAAACAGGATTCTTCTCTTTTTAAATCACTTGGTACCCCCATCCATGGGAGTTTTGTTTTTTGTCTTTAACTAGAATAAAAATGGTAACTTTAAGTTATAGTAGGTGCTGCACCTTGTGGTTTGGGCCTTTCAAAAATCTCAGGCATAAAGCATGCGTGCTTCCTCATCGTATTTTATGATTTTAATAATAATTATTTTTTAAAAGGTAATAAGCCATGTATAAAATTGGAAAATATACAAAAGTATGATTCTCTTTTGTAGCTTCTTTTCAGTGCATAACTTTTAATTGAAAGAATCTGAAAAATACAAAATTATGTTTAAATATTTTATGTGAAAAATACTAATAAACACACATGAGAAATGAAAATTACCTGTCATTCTGTCCCTTTGATGGAAGCTTAAATAAAGTGAGAAATTAAAGTCCTTCCAATGTCATCCTTTTACCAGTTTTTAAATATCCTTCCAGAAAGTTTGCTAGACTTAGCTTTCCTTCCTTCTGGTTTTTCCATGTGAGGGATGGTAGGAAGAAATGAAATTAGATTATCCTATGTTACTTTTATTACTTTCAATAACATTAACAAACAATATTTGCATTGTGCTTTACTGAGAATTTTTCTTTTTAGTACTCTCATTTATTTTTTCAATAACTCAGTGAAGGAGATATTTTACAGATTAAAGAACAGGCTACTGAGCTTAAAGAACTTGCATGAGGTCACTCAGGTGGTAGTAGATCTAATTCATGTCTTTTGACTCCAAAATACTTTGACTGTTCAGTTCCAAGAAGAGATAGATGTTGTCATGGATTGAATTGTGTCCCCCCAAATTTGTGTCAATTGGCTAGACCATAATTCCCAGTATTATGTGGTTGTCCACCATTTTGTGATCTGATGTGATTTGCCTATGTGTTGTAAATCCTAATCTCTGCCTGTGGTTAATGAGGCAAGATTAGGTTATGTTAAAGAGGATTAAGGTGGGATGTAACACCCTTTCTTAGGCCACAACCCTGATCAGATGTAAGGAGAGTTTCCCTGGAGTGTGGCCTGCATCACCTTTTATTAGAGATAAAAGGAGAGAGAAGCAAGCAGAGAGATGGGGACCACCTACCACCAAGACAGCAGAGCCGGGAGCAGAGCATGTGTTTTGGACCTGGGGTCTCTACACTGAGAAGCTCCTAGACCAGGGGATGGATGATGACAAGACCTTCTCCCAGAGCTGATAGAAAGAGAAAGCCTTCCCCTGGAGCTGCCGCCTTGAATTCGGACTTCTAGCCTTCTAGACTGTGAGAGAATAAATTTCTGTTTGTTAAAGCCATCCACTTGTGGTATTTCTGTTATAATAGCACTGAATAACTAAGAATTTGGTACTGGGAGTGGGGTGCTGCTCTAACAGATACCTAAAATGTGGAAGTGGTTTTGGAATTGGGTAATGGGTAGAGGCTGGAAGAGTTTTAAGGTGCCTAATAGTAAAAGCCTAGATTGCCTTGAAGAGACTGTTGGTGGAATTATGGACATCAAAGGCAATTCTGGTGAGGGCTCAGAAGGAACTGAGGAGAGCTGTAACACCAGAGATGGCACAGACGATGAGAAGCAGCAGCAGAGAAATGGCAGCAGCAGAACTAGGAGACCACTGTGAGAGTTTGAAAGCCAACTCACAGAGTGAGAAAGCTGAGTGCCTTTGTGCAGGAGGCTTCCTGTGGAGTGGGGTGCCTCCAGGCACTTATTGGTAGAGCTAGAGAGCTTTGGAACACTTGCTGAGGAGGGCAGACGCCTGGCCGACCCAAGAGCCCAAGGGGCCAAGTATCCAGGAAGCAGAAGCTGAAGAGACAAGGAACACAGAAAGCAGAGCTCCCTGAGTCTCAAAGGGTAGGGCCATGACCTCTAGGGTCTTAAAGGGTAGAGCCATGGTCTCTGGGGTTTCAAAGGGTGGGGCCATAGCCTTTAGCTATCAGAGAGTCAGATCTTCACCAACTCAGTTCTGAAGTGTGGGGCAGCTTTTCACGAGCGCCAGCGGGATGGGGCCAGATCTGCTGCCCAAAGTTGAGGGGATGGGGCTGCCATGTCAGAGGGGCAGAAGAATGGGACCTTCTGGGGCTGAGGGAGTGGGGTCACCAACTCAGACAGACTAGGACAGAGTAGAACTGCCCCATAGAGTTTCCAAGGAGCGGCTGGTGGATTTGAACTGCCACCCTTTTTGTTAGCAACTGAACTCTTAACCACTGTACCACCAGGGGTCCAACTAGGAGAATGGGGCCACCCAAGTGTGAGGGAGCAGAGTTGCTGTTCCAGTAGGCCTGGAAGGTGGAGCTGAAGCCCAGGACCGAGGGGCCTCCACCCACAATCCAGAGAGTGTGGCCAACACCCAGACTCTGGAGGACAAGGCCATTGCCTAGATCTAGTCTCAGAGAACAGAGGATATTATTTTCAAGCCTTGAGAACTAATGTAAATTATTCTGCTGGATTTCTGACTTGCTTGGTCCTGTTGTGCACTCTTTCCCTCCAATTTCTCCCATTTGTAATGGAAATGTCTAACTTGTGCCTGTTCTACCATTGTACTTTGGAAGCAGATAAATTGAATTTTGCCCCAGGATGGAATTTGGACTTGGAGGTGATTTAAAACTTTTGTTATGATATGATGGGGTGACTGTATTTTATATGGGGCAAGGATGTGAATTTTGGGGGGCCAAAGGGTGGAATGTCGTAGGTTGAATTGTATCCCCCCAAAATTTGTGTCAATTTGGCTAGATCATGATTCCCAGTATTATGTGGTTGTCCACCATTTTGTGATTCATGTGATTTTCCTATGTGTTGTAAATCCTAATCTCTGCCTGTGGTTAATGAGGCAAGATTAAGTTATGTTAAAGAGGATTAGGGTGGGATACAACACCCTTACTCAGGTCACAGCTCTGATCAGATGTAAGGGGAATTTCCCTGGAGTGTGGCCTGCATCAGCATTTATCTTATAAGAGATGAAAGGAGAGAGAAGCAAGCAGAGAGATGGGAACCTCCTACTACTAAGAAAGCAGAGCCCGAAGTAGAGCATGTCCTTTGGACCTGGGGTCCCTGCACTGAGAGGCTTCTAGACCAGGAAGATTGATGACAAGGATCTTCCTCCAGAGCTGATAGAGAGAGAAAGCCTTCCCCTGGAGCTAGTGCCCTGAATTCAGACTTCTAGCCTCCTAGACTGTGAGAGAGTAAATTTCTGTTTGTTAAAGCCATCTGCTTGTGGTATTTCTGTTATAGAAACAATAGATAACTAAGACTGATGTACATGAATATTGTGGTTACCTGATTTAGTTCCTCTTAGCAATCAGAAGTTGATAAGTTTAAGTGCTTTTTAATCTTTGCTTCCTAGCTCTTAAATTCTTCTCCCATTTAGTCTCTTCACTGATATCTGGTAATTTACAAAGAAGGGAAAGACAAGGTTGGGAAAGGAGATAAAATTTAAAACTGTCTTCTTAGTTCTCTTGATGAAACTTTGACAGACAAATATATTCTTTTTGGTTAGAATGCAGTTTTTGGTTTATGGTAGATATTATTGTAGAAGTTGCAAACTGAGACAGTAATAGTTGAGTCTCAGAGGACGAATTCAAGTACTATTATGGGAAAAACACCAAAGCTTATTTCTGTAAGTATTCTGTATAATTATTTTTGTCACAGTAAATCCTGAGTTTGTAGATAATGTTTTTCTTATTTGTTGAGATGGTATCATTCACAGGTATCACTGTCCTTTACAAGGAGTAAAACAATCTAGTGACAGAAAGATAAACTACCTTCTCATAACAATTTATGGCATCATGTTAAGGAGAGATTCCTGACCTTAATAAATGCTAATCAGAATTGACGGGAATTATCTATCATTTGTTAAAGCTGTTAGGCTGATGATTTTTTTTTTTTTTTTAATTAGAATTTGAGTGTTTTTAGGAATGATACATATACTTTCTGTCCCCTCTTGCCATATCTAGTCTGCTGCACCAGGCCTTTGCCTCTTTGCTCCATAGAGGGCTTAAATTTGTGACTTAAGGTCATTGTTGCACATTATTTATTTATTTTAATTACCCATTACCTTATTTAATTTGGAGCCCTGGTGGTGCAGTGGTTAAGTGTTCGCTGCTGTCCAAAAGGCTGGCAGTTCGAATCCACCAGCTGCTCCTTGGAAACCCTGTGGGGCACTTCTACTGGGTCCTATAGGGTTGCTATGAGTTGGAATCGACTTGACAGCAATGGATTTGGTTTGGTTTGTAGTTCTTGATACATTAATACAAATGACAATTTAGTAGAAAATTATTTCATTTAAAATAATTAACAGTTAACAGAAACTGAATCACATCTTTTACTATTGCTTCATAGGGTATTGGTGCCTTCCTGTAGCTAAGATGTTGGCTTAGTCTAGATTACTGATGGTTTCTGTTTGAATGTTTTCTCTTCTTTACCTGAGATAGTATGTTTAGTTGGATTTTACAGAAAATAAGACATTAGACATATTACTGGTTTTCAAATATATGGAGGTTGTGAAAACCTAAGCCTTCTTATGGAGAGATTAAACTGGAGATGGAGAAATAGTAGCTGAACTTCTGTCATGACCATAGCTTCTTGCAAAACATGCTCTAGAAGTGACTTATTGACTTTCTTAAAC